ACATCCATCCATCCATCCATCCATCCATCCATCCACCCATCTCTCCCCTACCCCCACCACACTATTGCTACCACTCTCTATCTGCCCATCCGAGGATCAGAGGTGTACTGCCTCTGCAAGAGGAGAGAGAGACCAGGTGACCAAGGATGGCAGCACTGCCATGATTGGTGGTAGGACTCAGGCCAGCTCCTTCCCTGGGGCAGAGTATTTGGGTCTCGTAAAACAGCGAGGGTCACCGAGAACTGTATGTTTCTTGTCTCCCTCCGACAACTCTGCACCTATGTTTCTTTTCAAAATACATATATTCATATATTTAGAGAGCTCTCCTTTTTTTAAAGACATGTTTCTTTAAAGAATTTCAAACATACAACAATCAAGCAAGAACAGTTCAATGAGCTGCTCTGCACCCATCACCCAGCGTCAGTGGCAGTGGGATCCTGGCCAGTCTTGCTTCTGCTCGTGTCCAGTCTTCCCTCCATTTCATGCTGCAGCTCATCCCAGACCCGTGATCATTCATCTGTAAGTAGACCAAGGACTACTCTGCAAGTGTGGGAACTCAGAACTTCTCTGTAAAAAAAATTGTTGCCCAATGCCATCATCACGCTAAAATCTCAGGTCACTTTTATGTTAATTTAATAATTCATTTCTGGCTGCATTATTCCATTTTTTTACAAGATAAAATCTAACCAGAATTTAAAACATATCTCCAGATATATTTAAATAAGAGTTCAAGTGAAAAAAAGGGCTTCAATTTGAGATTTACCTTAATTCTACTTTTACAATTATAAATTAGCATCTCTGTAATCCGTTCTTTACTAAACGCCTTATGAAAGTACATCAGTAGAAACTAAAACAATGGAACCCTTTTTATTCCTCTTTTTCTTCAAAAGGGGAATATTTATTCCGCATCCACCTTAGGGAGGGGGCTGTTGGAAAGCTGGGTGGCTCACTTAACTTCCTAGGTAAGAGTAAACAAGGAGATGAAGACCTACGGTGACCCACACCTCTGGCATCTGGCTGAGCAAGCACCTGGAGTCAATTATCACTTTAAAGTCTGTCTACACATTTCCACTTCCACACACAGGTAGCTTCACTGTAGCAGGGTCGTTAAACTCATAATCAGAAATGCTTTCTCCCACTCCTTGCCCCTTACCAGGACCACAGACGGCCAGGCTGAACCTGGGAAGGCATCACTCCTCTCTGACATCCCAACTGTACAGAGGAGGGCCCACAGGCCCAGAGCTGAAGTAATGTCCCAACGTCATTCAAGATGGCAAAAGGCAGGGCCAGGACCACAATCAGGTTTCCTGTCCTTGGGGCAGTGCCCTTTCTCTGCATCCTGGAGTTCTAGAGCTCTTCCGCCTGCTTTTGTCCTTTGCTTGATAACAGGTCAGAGCATCCAATGGCTGACCGTATTTGGGAAGCCCAGGTAGCAGCAGGACACAAGCACGAAAGGTCAGAAAGCTATTCCAACACTCCTCGTACCACCCCAAAGTACATCCCAAGACTACATACCTTTCCCATGGGCTGCTTAACAACATGCATTGTGTTACCAACAAGCCAGAAGAAAACCAAAGTCACATTTCTGGAGATTGCAATAATTATCTACTTAGTTATCACAAAACTAAGGATGCAAGAACCAGGGAATGCCAAACAGAAGCAAGGTACACAGAGTTGGTGTCAATATGCCAGCCTATCCATCCAGGACACACAGGTACAGATGAAGGCCTTGGCCACCAACAAGAATGCGTATTTCCAGTATTGCCAATTTTTATTTCCATGTACACAACAACCCTATGAGGAAGATGGAACAGGTTTATAATGAACTACTGAACGGTTTCACGTTTTTCACCAGTCAGTTATAATGCCTGGATGATGAGTTCAATAAAGTGAATATTTACCGAGCACTTATCATATGTCAGGAGCTATCAGAAGAATAAAAGAAATAGTTCTTGCCCTCTGAGCACTTACAACCTGATTCAAGAAACGCAAGCACATCCACAGGCAGAGTGGCTGTCCTCGGCTTATTCACAGTCTTTCTTTAGCCTCTAAAATATGCTCATAAGGTCCTGACTCCCCCAAAGGTGTGGGGGGACTGCAAAGACCAGCTGACAAGAAGAGACCTAAGGGACTATTTATAGCCAAAAGGAGAGGACAGAGGAATGCCTTCATGGTTCCTGAACATGAGGTCCATGGAGAGTAGCACATCCTTGCAATGCTGCCTGTAGCCTGAAAGGCAGACTAACTCTTCTTTCCTGAAAGACTGCAGCTTAATGCCTGTGTCTTGTAAACTGAATCTCAGAACTGAGTTCTCCAGGGTAATTTCAGAGTCCAGCCAACCTCAGGCTGGACCGACCTCAAACTCACCGACCTCAGGGTTCCTCCTTCACTGTCGTGACACACAGATGCACTCCTATCGTCTTTTGTTCATTGTAACCAACACATCTCACCTTTTGAAAAAGCCATAATCACACATGTGATTAATCTCATCACTATGTTTACACCTTCTTTTGAAGACCCAAACTTCAGCCTTAATAATAAATGTGGAAAGAGTCCCATAAGACTGAAGTAGAAAATAACTTTCAGAATTCTAGCACCTCTTCTCTAAAAATAGTTCTGAGACTTGGAAATTATATAGTATGTTATCTATTCCATTAGCACCAAAGAACTCTAGTACAGTGACCGAAATGAAGTTCACTAAAATTTTATCTCCAATTCTAAAGAGGAGCTGATTTAAAGTATTACAAATTACTAAACACAAATGATGGTATTCAGCAAATAGTTGTCACAATTCATTTCATTAAACACTGTTGGCTGCTTCTCCTGAAGTTTTACTGTAAAAGAAAATGAAGTGCACCCATTATATATTTTAAAATTACACAAAAAACTGAGAAGAAGAATAAAATCAAGGTTCTACTCCCCTTCAAATTAGGGTTAAAATACCAATATCAGCTCTATTCACAAGGAAGAAGAGAACCGATTTTAATGAACTGGTATTAAGTAAAACCTATGCACCTACAATTTTCCCTTTCCCTGTTTGAGGACAGAAAAAACACTTCTATAAATATCTGTGCTGTAAAACCTCTAGGAGTATTGGGGTTTTTCTGCACCTAAACTGTTTAGGCAAACTTTACTTTAGAACTGAAAAATAACAGTAAAGGGAGGGTAGTGTTGAGATATCATCAGAGATTCCCAGTGACAATCATACACCATCCTGGCTCTGACTAGTGGCCCAGGAAGCATTTTCTGACTGTTTTCCTGTTCTGTTTTGCCTTCCTCCAACATGATGACTCGAGTGGATGTACTGGTATTCAGGTTGAAGAATAAATGTACTGTGCAATAAAAACCAACGCTGGGAAATACACTGCTGATTCACTTTTCCAGCAGCACAAGGGAGAAGCCTACCCTCTCTGAATGAGATGTCATAGTCCGTATCACTTGTTAAACTTAAGCATGGGTTGTGCAGAAATGTATTCCATTAAACTGATGCTAATACATTTAGATTAAAAAATACAGAACTCAAAATAATAAAACAAATTTTCCCATGGTTAGATTAAACCAAAAAGCTAAGAACTAGTTAATTTAGAGGACAGAGAGTTTAACGTGATAAGGCAGGCTAGAAAATCCAGGTGGAATAATACCTTTTTCTGAAGGTCTGGACACACTGAACAAATAATGTTAATAGCTGCCACACGGGCTTTTCTTCCATGATGCTCTACTGCCTACGTCTCTTGAGCTGAAACTATGCCATCAGTCACTGTGTCAGGTACAGAACTGTGGAGTTGCCGCATGGCTTGACCTGGTCCGCAAAGTTCATTTCAGAGCTATGAAATCAACCCTGGACATGAAAGTGACGTGATATCCTTCACATGACAAGGGTGTTTCAGACACAGGCTTACAAAGAAGTAGAGAAATATGCACTGAGGTGTCACCCACCCTGCCACACAGTGCCCCAGGATGAGGAAGGTATTGGAGAAAGCCCACCCATGCTGCCACCCAGACCCAGTAGAAATCCTTTCGGAACAACAGTATTTAAGACCTTGAACGTCAGCCCGCATGAATTTATACACCCTGATTTTCATAACAGTGAGGTGTTATTCACATTTAAATTTTATTTTGATTGTTCGATTACAAGATAATGCTAATGTTTAGTTTTGATTTTTTGAATAGGAGATACACTAATCAAATTAAGGAGAAGTATTTATGTAGTTTACATCATTTTCCTAGGCATTTGTACTGTCACGGTGGTAGTGGTTTAGTAAGATAGCTAGGTAGTGTGCACTCTTGCTCACTTAAATTCAAAACGTGGTCAGCTGATATTGCGAGTGATCACACTGCCCTTATCATGATTGTAATTGGTGAAGCTATAATTGTTAACAATTATAAAGTCTCTGACATCCTTTATAGGAAATCTAGCTGTGCTCTTAAACCTTTATATTTTTAGTAGCCATAAATTAATTCGTCAATTTGGCTATGCACTGTGAAATAAAATTTCTTCTGCTTTTATGCTCAAACTCAGTGACCTCAATTTTACCAACTGTCCCCTCTCCTCATGGCATGAAAAAAGATAAACACAAATGTCGAAAGAGGAAAGAGCAATCTACCCCCAAAACAGTAACATTTCCATACCTGGACATTGTAATTTCCTAAGAAAGAACAAAGATATTTTGACATTGAGTTTATATTCGCATTCTATTTTTTTAGGACTTCCTTTTTGCTTTGGATTTTTATTCGCTTTTCAAACATTCACCAGTTTAAATAAAGCCATATGGTTCTTATAAGGTCACTAAACCTTCCTAATTTCAGGGAGTTATCTTTTCCAAGTAAGTAATATTTGAGGTTGCAAATGGGTGAGAATCAACCACAGGCTCAGATGATTTTACTCAAGAGAATGAAGCTGAGGCCAGTGAACAATCCTGCCAACCTCAGGACACTCTCGAAATGACGGCCGCTATCATGAGAGAGAAGTGGGTGCGGAGATGTCAGAAGCTCCTGCTTACCCCTTGTTCAGATTCCAAAAGCTCTGTTTTGACTCTGACTGCCGGCATCCCATCAAGCATTAGCATTCTGTTTCCAAAGGGGTTGATATTCTGAGAAGGAAGAAGAGAGAGAGGGGAATTCAGCGTTAAAACATGCAAAGGGGGGCACATCTGGTGGAGTCTGCCTTCGCTGCAGAACACTTAGTACCGCTAACCTAATTCTTTAACAATGAAGTGTAATTAAATGAGAGTATCAGCATAACCAATTATCTCCTCATTCTGAACTTTCATTGGAAATAATGACCGGGAAGTTGAATTAATCAGTCTGCTTCTCTGACCTCAGGGTTGGAGGTCAGACTGTAATAAACCAGAGTAAGGAAACATTACATTAATTTATATGAGGCTGGGACAATTCATCACACTTCTGCCATAGTAGAAGGAAATCTAAGGCAACTTTCTTTCTTCTTTAGTTATGGAGGCTGTATTGCATCTACAAATCCATAAAACAGAAAAAAGACAAAAAGAATTTATATGTTCTCAAGTTACTGGCTCAAATTCTTAAAAACCAGATAATACAGTTCTAGACACTGAATTTTGGCACCATGGCCATTCTGATCAAACACAAATTTTTACATATCAACCCCAAACATCTTTAAAGACAACTAACCCAAGTCTTGGATTAAGAGTGCATTTTTAAGCTGAAGTCATAACCAAAGAATAAATAATGTGTTTTTTTTGGTTCTGGTATATTCTAGCCTCAAACCGCCTCCTCTTAAAAAGAAAACCTTATTCCTATAGTGACTCAATGGGATTTCAACCTATATTTATAGAAAGACTAAATCAAGGTTATTTTCTGCTAATTGTCATTGCTTCGGGGGTTTTCTGAAGTCAATAACCTATGAAGGGAGTCAGAAAGCCTCATATCAGTGCTTGCTTAAGGCCAGAATCGGGCTCATGTTTTAAAACATGTTGAGAATACCAACTTTCGCCTAGCATACTGACTAAACCAAAAAACTGAAATGACTAAATCTGACTGAGTTTTCAGAATGGTTCCTTTGCTCCATTATAGAACATAACTACGTGACACTAAAGTGATCTTATTAAAAGAAAGAGGTCTGTTTCTATAATATTTTGTCTACCTGGTAACAAAGGTTAATATCATTTCTAAACCTCAGGTTTTTAGCCTTTCTTACCGTAGAGTTGAATGAGAACAACTTCCACTTCAATAAACTACAAATTAAATGTTTTTATTACCAAATAATACCAACAGAGTGCAGTATAGTGAAGCTCTAATTATTTCTCCTATTTCTTGACTCCTCTTTTTGTTTAAGAAAAATACTCTAAGAAATAAAATTTATAAGGTCTCTTATTACAGCTATTTGCTGCAAAATATCAACAAGAAGGAAAAGCAAATTTATTCTACAATTAACAAATGAACATTTACAAATTTCATGATACCCTGTCTATTAGGTAATGAAAAGAAAATAAATGTCATGTTCTTTTTCTTGGAAATGCACATTATTATTAAAATTGACAGGATACTGTTTTTAATCTTTGCTTTTAACTTGTCCATATTGGTAGGGGTGGGGGTGCATCCTAATAGATGGCTCAGAGCAGCAGGAACTTTCCTGGCTCACTCAGTTCATTTGTTCCAAGCTTAACATCCTTTCATGGAGGCTGGCGAGTTGTTTACACATCAAGCATGGATCTCACATCCCAGTGTGTCATTTGCTTCCCCGGTTGGAAGCAGCCAGCTTGGCTCACCACCATTCCAGCCTCAGGAAAGCCTTCTAGCAGCGACCAGCCCTCAGCACTCCCCGCCTGGCACAGCAGCCCGGTATCTACTGTAACAAAGCATCCCGTGGGCTGCTTAGTTGGTAGACAATGAAGGATGAGTTGATACTGCTTCCTACCCCAGAGGAGGTCTTGTTCAGAGGAAAAAGGAAGATGCTCGGCAAAGGAGGGGGAAAGACAAAGAGCGATCCTGGGAAGGCAGGTTTAATGAACTGTTAGAATCTGATTAGAGGCTAATGTCCCTTTTAGTGCTCTGTACCAATTTACAGCTGATATACTTTAACCATTTTCCTCACTGGCTGTGATAAACTCGTTAGTTTAAAACATGCAAGCTAACCAGAGCCTTTGAGGTTAAAAACTAATAAATCATGAAAACCTGACTGGGATCATGTTCCATTGAGCACATTTAATATCAATGCATGTTCAGGATGGTTTTCTTTTTATTGTTGTTCTTGAATAATTCTTCATGTGTGAAAGAAGGGTGTGAGTTTCACTTTCATGTAAAAGTGGAAAAAATAAAACACATTTTCAAAATATTTTAAAGATGTTCAGTTTTCCCTGGGAATATTTCTCTTTCCCTAATTTTCCAGGATCCACTACCACACCCATCATCAACACCATAAATGATAATGTTCACGGCTAAGGAACCAGTCCTTAATTATTAAACTCTTTCAACTGGTGCAGATTCAATCTGTATGTGTGCCTGAAAGTTATACTGTAAGCATATACAAAGCATGTTGACCTCTGCATTCATGATTCTAACCCTGTTTAGCAGAACATGAGCACTGAGCATCACATCTCCCAGAGTATCCAGAAAGGGGTATGGTTTTTACAGAGTGCATGGTGACCACACAGCACTGAATACAATCCTGGGGAAAAACACTGATAGATTTCTCTCTCTAAGCTAAAACCAAATATATACAATCTCAGGTGACTGTAGACTTTCAATACGTAATAAACTCTAATAATTTGAAATTGCTGTCAAACATATCTTGCCATGATATTAATCAAAACACATTTGCTGTGGAATCAATAGCCCCATTGATTCCCAAGAGGTAAATAAAATTACACAGTCATCAACTGTAGTAACATGGTTCTCTTTGTATATTTATGTTGTAACATTTTGATATTACACAACCCTATATAATTTATGCATGTGTGAATATATTCATACATACATGTACATACACATGTGTACAGTTCAGTTATTTTGTGCAAGTAAATTTTGTCAATTAAAGCAAAAGCTGCCATCAGATGTATTAGCTGGCTGCTGGTCGATTACATGTGAATGAATGAGAATGGTACTCTGGATATTCCTACTTGGCAAATGAGATCTGGCACTATACCTGCCCAGCTGACATAGCTCCCCTGGTCAAAAGCTGTAGAAACACAACCATCACTGGTCTTCCCAAATCATAATATTATGAGTGGGATATGCAGGAAGGAAAGAGACTGACACTCAATGATCGTATCTCAGAACAACACAGAACGAACGGGGTGTGACTTTCCAAGCTAACCACTCCGATCTGCCCCCCACTCCCTCCTGAGGATGGGTCATCTAATTTGTACAACTGTAGCAAGAAAGAGTCGGCCAGGCAATAGTCAATAGACCTAATTTCAAACAGGGCTTTCCTTCATAAGCCAAAAATACCTACTAGTGTTTTGATTTCTCAAGGTACAGGGCAGAGTCGCTTACATATGTATCCATCTTAAATTTTCTTTTTTGGCTACAGGTGATGAGAAATAGGAACGGCCTCCACACACACCCACATTATGTTAAACTGTGTAGCAATTCAGGATTCACTGCATCGCGCTGATTAAGGCATTTTTATAGAAGATTCTTAAAGCTTTATCACTAAGTGTTCCAACTGGTTAAAAGTATCATACTCCAGTATACTTTTCTACAGAAAAAGCAAAGGAATCAGATTATAAGAAAATTAGATGTTTGCTAAAAAAATTAGAGAAGTCAACCTCTCCCCTTTTTTATTGTTCATTCTACTATAGTTGTCCCAACTTTTTCCCCTCTTGCCCTGCTCCACCCAGCCCACCTCTCTAGCCCACAGCCCACCCCTCTCCCTTGTCCACGTCCATGCATCACTCGTACATGTTCTCTGACGAGTCCCTTCCCCTTCCTTCCACCGCTCCCCACCCGCTCCTCCCCTCCTACAGCTGTCAGTCTGTTCCATGTTTCCTTGTCTCTGGTTCTATCTTTCTCATTCGTTTATTTTGTTCATTAGATTCCAGCTGTAAGTGAGGTCATATGGTGTTTGTCTTTCACTGACTGGCTTATTTCACTTAGCAGAATAGTCTCCAGTTCCATCCATGCTGTTACAAAAGGTAGGACTTACTTCTTTCTTTCTACTGCATAGTATTCCATTGTGTAAATGCACCACAGTTTTTTAATCCATTCATTTACTGATGGGCACTTAGGTTGCTTCCAGCACTTAGCTATTGTAAATTGTGCTGCTATGAACATAAGGGTGCATAAGTTCTTCTGAATTGGTGTTTAGGATTCTTAGGGTATATTTCTAGGATTCTTAGGGTATATTTATAGCAGTGAAATCACTGGGCCATGAGGCAGTTTCATTTTCAATTTTTTGAGGAAATTCCACACTGTTTTCCACAGTGGCTGCACCAGTCTGCAATTCCACCAACAGTGCACTAGGGTTCCCTTTTCTCCACATCCTAGCCAGCACTTGTTTGTTGATTAGTTTATGGTGGTCATTCTGACCTGTGTGAGATGGCATCTCAAAGTGGTTTTAATTTGCATCTCTCTGATGACTAATGATGTTGAGCATTTTTTCGTATGTCTATGAGCCATCTATATGTCCTCCTTAGAGAAGTGTCTATTCAGGTCCTTTGCCCATTTTTATTATTATTTTATTTTATTTTATTATTTTATTTTATTTTATTTATTTTATTTTACTATTTTATTTTTAAAGAGAGGGAAGGGAGGGAGAAAGGGAGAGAAACATCAAGGCGTGGTTGCCTCTAATGTGCCCCCTATTGGGGACCTGGCCTACAACCCAGGCATGTGCCCTGACTGGGAATAGAACTGGCAACCCTTTAGTTCCCAGTCTGGTGCTCAATCCACTAAGCCACACCAGCCAGGGCACCCATTTTTTAATTGGACTTTTTGTCTTCCTGGCGTTGAGTCATATAAGTTCTTTATATATTTTGGAGAGTAAACCCTTGTCTGATGTACCCTTGGTAAACGTGTTCTCCCATATAGTTGGCTCCTTTTTCATTTTGATGGTTTCTTTATCTGTGCAGAAATTTTTAATTTGATGTCATCCCATTTGTTTATTTTTTTATTT